AGGAATTGAACAGCATTCAGGACTCTCTTTTTTGTCTAAAACAAAGAAAAGTGACCAATTGTAGCAGACGCTACCCACATCTAGCTCTCATTCATTAAACTTTGGTCCAATTATCACATGTTTAGCTATTTATGGTCCAACCAACTCCCAATACTCCATACCAGTATCCTTAATTTTTGTTTTGCAGCCATACCAGGCAGTGCCCAGGAATTACTCCTGGTTTTTCGCTCAGGGATCACTCCTGGTGGGGCTCAGGGGACCACATAAGGTTCAAGGGATCAAACATGGATTGGCCACATGAGAGGCAAATGCTCTGCCTGCTGCACTATCTCTCCAGCCCCCTCATTTTCCTATTCTCTCTCTTCTGGCTACTATTCATTGTTGTTGCAATAACTAGAAGCTGCATACCTCCCTGGCTGTGGTGCTCACACAATTATTTTTATTTATTTTTGGCTGTGGTGCTTCCAGGATCACACACTTGGCTGCAGTGCTTGAGAAGGTTTGAACTCCCATACATGTGGTGCTTGCACACGTGCTGACCAGGATCCACTCTTTTAGTTGAGATGCAGTTATGACTATAGTGCTTGCCCAGGGGTGGCAGGATTGGGGGGCTGCAGAGGTGTTCATGTATGCCTGCATAAGTGATACTACCTGGCTGAGGTGCTCACATAATCTTTTCAGTTGTGCTCACACACATCTGGCTGTAATGATGCCAGGAATTGTTTGCAGCACTGGGAATCAGACAGCAGAAATCTGCTAAGCCCCTTCATAGCAGATCAGAAAAAACTAGGGCTTACCATCCTGAAAATAGCTCCTAAACCAATAATGATTCAGGACTTGTATTAATATCTGTTCCCTCACCCCTACATGGGGACAGTTCTGAGCTGTTTTTTCCACACAGGTTGCCAGAGTTTCTCAGAGAGATTAAGCCTCAATCATCCACTGTGTAAACTAGTTTAACAGCATCCTTTATTGACTACCTTCCTTGTTTTCTTTCCCATTCTTTGAACGAAGTTTCTGGGGACCACTTCCAAAATAAGCAGTTTTCACTCAAATCTTTGTCTCAGCATCTTGTGAGGTAAATGGAAACAGGATGATACCAGTTGTCTAATGCATTACCCTTGGTAGGTAGACCTGAATGAATTGACTCAGTCAATATAACTGCTATTAGCACTAGGCAGATGAAAAAAAATTTAACCTTTAAATTATTTTTATTTTATTATTTTGCCACCTGCAAAAACTAGTATCCAGAGGATTAGGAATGTATCTCTGAACATGTGGGAGGCACTGGGGTTCAAACTCTCGGCCTTTCACCTGTAATACAGACTCTTTGCCCTTTCCCCCTTTTTGCCCCATTTCACTCTCTTTTGTTTTTGTTTCGGGGCCACTCTCAGCAGTGCTCAGGGTTTACTCCTGGCTCTGCACTGAGCGGTGATTCCTGGCAGGCTTGGGGGACCTTATGGAGTGCCGGGAATTGAACTCATTTTGGTCGTGTGCAAATGCCCTACCCACTATCGCTCTGGCCTCCTCATTTCACTTCTTTCAAACCTGTCAATGTTTACTGTCATACTGTGAGCAAAATCAGACCCAAGAACACTAGAGCTTCTAGATTTAGTCTCTGTTGAAATGAAACTTGGGAGATTGTTGCTCTGAATGAGATACTGTACTTTTAGGGAGTTAAAACTGGCCATTTCTCTAGGACCACCATGTCTCTAATGGCATGGAAATGCCAATGGAAGACTCCCCTTTACACATAGGGCTCAGTGGCACACAGTCTAGAAACTAAGTGATCCTGATTTTAAAATGTATTATAAAGCTTCAGGAGTCAAAACACTGTGCCAATTGATATTCATTAGGATGATGGATTACAAAAAACAAGAAGCAAAAACTAGCAAGGGTGTGGAGAAAGGGGAATTATGTACTTCTGATGAGAATATAAAATAGTGTAATCACTCAGAATAAGCAAAGAGGTAGCTCCTCAAAAGAATATATATATGTATAATAAGTACATATCCCAGTAGTTCCACTTCTAGTGTACACCCAAAAGAACAGATATAAGGGTCTCAGAGAAATATGTACACTTGGATTCATAATAGCTTTATTCACAGTAACCAAAAAGAGAAAGTCTACATGAATATCAAGTGATAATATTGTATGCGGGGGCAGGAGACTGCACTGTTCTGTCCCCGCGCCTGGCTGTCCTCGCTGGGGCCTCTTGGAGGGGAGCGGGTTGAGCTTTCTTCCCTGCCTCGACCAGGGCTCTGGCAGCCGAAGACCTCCAGGACCAGCCACCACCATGCTGAGACTACTCTCCCCACACCTGAAGGTACCGGCAGAGGAACAAAGGCAAGCAGGACCCGGGGCCGAGATCTCCAAGCCTACTCGGATCAGAGCTGAGCATCCTCCACCCAGATCCTCCGAATTCCAGTAGGCGGGGGTCACACCCACCAACTGGATCCTGGCGCCGTGTAATCCCATCAACGGCCAAGACTCAGAGACTATAAAAACTAGCTCCCGGAACCGCGCGGCTGCATTTGCAGCCACGCGGCATCTTATTATAACATCTTATTATCTCATTCCTACTTTGGACAAACTGGCAGGCTACCAAATGTAGCCTGCCCACATGGCAGAGTCTGGCAAACTTCCCGTGGCGTACCCAATATGCCAAATACCAGTAACAATGATGGGTTTTATTCTCCTAAAGAGCCTTGATTATAATCTCAGGACTAGGATGAAGGAGACGTTACTGGGGCCTGCTCGAGGCAATCGACAAATAACAGGATGGTCGTGAATCGTGAATATTGTATGCACATAAAATAGATATTAGCCTTTTATGGGGTTCCACTCAAGTGGTGCTCCCCAGGGTACCCCGGGGACCACTCCTGGTAACTCCAGGCCAGCAGTTCCATGAGGGACCCAAGGACGAAATGGCTTAGGTCCTGAGATGTTTGGGATTGCTTTGGGGTGTCTAACGCACACCTGAAGATGTTCTGGAGCCTCCAGGGCTATATCTGATAATGCTCAAGGGATCAAACCAGGGTCAGCTACATGCAAGGCAAGTACCTATACTGTCTCTCAAACCCCAGAATACTAGTCTTGAAAATGAATTCCTGCAACATGTAGCAACATGGATGCACCTTAAGGACACAATACTAAGTAAACTAAGGACAAATGTTGCATGATTCCACTTACATGAGACATCTAAAATGGTCAAACTCTGGCCAGAGAGACAGTAGAGTAGGTAAGGCACTTGCCTTGCAAAAGAATAGAATAGTGGCTATCAGGGTTGGGGGCAAAGGAAGGAGTTGTTAACCATCAGTATCAATGGGTATGAGATTAAGAGACACAAGGTGAATAAATTCAAGTGTGCTGTACAATATTATGTCTATTAATAACACCTATTATGCACTTATAATTCCATTAAGAGTATAGAATCTATGCATTATTACTAAAATTAATACTTAAAAAACACACACCTAGTAGTTTCCAGAGTTTGGGGGAGAAAACACTGGAAAGTCTTAATTTTAGTACATTATTTCAGTTCTAGAAGATGAAAATTCATGTTCTGTGGATGGATAATAGTGATGATGGCACATTAGTATGAATTCACTTAATGCCTCTGAATTATGCACTTAGCTGATGTGGTGAGATAGTGTAGCAGGTTGGGCACTTGCAACTAGGCCAACTCAGGTTCTGTATCCCTCACTGCACATAGTCCACCAAACCCGCCAGCAGTGAGCCCCAGCATACAGACAGCAGTAAGCCCTGAGCACCAGTTGGGTATGACCCAAAAAGGAAAAGGAAAGAGAGAAGGAAAGAGAGGGAGAGTGAGTGAGAGAGAGAGAGAGAGAGAGAGAGAGTGAGGAAGAGGAAGGAATGATTGACATGGCAATTTTCGTGTTCTGTACATTTGTTCACAATTTAAAAAGAATAATTTTTTGGCCACACCCAGTGGTACTCAGGATTTACTCCTGACTGGCTCGGGAACCATTTGGGGTGCCTGGGATTGATCCCTGCGTGCAAGACAAGCATTCCACCTGCTGTACTATCTCTAACAACTATACTGCCAAAGAATAATTTCAAAAATAAACTGTTGTGGCATTGGAATAAAAGATATGTAGATTAATGGAACAAAATAGAGTTCAGAAATAGACCTACACAAAGCCAAGGTAATCCAGTGGATTGCCTTGAGTAATCCATGGAGTCTCTTCAGCAAACGATGGTACAACTACTGCATATCCCTTAAGGAGGTTTGGGGGCCCAGGGTGTGGGGGTGGGGAAATGAACCTCAAGCTCCGACACCACAAAAAAAAATTTTAATGTCATAAATTTACACGTAAATGGCAAGACCACAAACTTCTAGAAAAATCAAGAAAATCTCCAGGATGCGCAGATAGCGGTGAGGGTAGGGGGACGTTAGCCACACCTGATGAGCTGCTGGTGAGGGGTGGGGGGCTGGGAGAGACCGTGTTTGGTGCTGGACCTGGGTCAGCTGTGCACAGGAAAAGGCCTTAGACAGCTCCCCCAGCACCATCTCTCGGATCGGCTGAATCGCTTCACTTGCAGACGGCTGCGGCCCCAGCTGCAAAGAGCAAGCATCCGGGATGACCCGGAGATGCGCCCCGCAGTCCACGAAGCCCGCGAGCGGGCAGAGCCGCACGGGCTAGAGCGCAGGCGCCGGCCGACTCCCCTGGAGACGCGGCCCACGGAGGCGGGGCCCGGAGCGCCGGCTCAGGTGAGCGAGCGCCGGACTGGAGGCTCTCGGGCGCTCGTGGACACGCCCCCGCGGCGCCCCTGGCCTCACCCCCCGCCCCCCTCCACCGGGGCGGTGATCTCGCGGTGTTTGTCCGGACTCTCGCGGGATTTAGCGTGGCACTGGGGAGGCCGGGCGCCGAGGGGCGGCGGCGGCGGCGGCGGCGGCGGCGGCGGCTGAGGCTGAGGGGGGCGGCGGCGGCGGCGGCGGTGGCGGCAGCGGTGGTCCGTTAAGTGGCGTTGTGGCCGCGCTTTCTCCTCGGCGCTCGGGGAGCTGCTCGGGCTGGAGGCCAGCCAGGTGAAGCGCTCGCCCGCCTGGGCAGCCGGGGAGGGACCCCCGGGGGGCGGGTGGGCGGCCCCCCGGCTCTCGGTCCCGGCCTCCCTCCCGGCGCCGCCCCCGCCCGGGCGCCGGCCCTGACCGCTCTCCTCCCCCTCTCCCCTCAGCTCTTGCCGTCGCCTGGGTCGCGATGGGGGCGCAGGACCGGCCGCAGTGCCACTTCGACATCGAGATCAACCGGGAACCGGGTGAGCGGGGCCGTGGGGGAGGGCGCGCGCCGGGGGCCCGGGCTAGCCTTGGGGGATGGGGTGGGGTGGTGTGGGGGGCGCGCCACTCCCCCCTCCCCCCCACCCCCCGTTCCCAGCTCGGAACCCGGGCCTGGTCCCTCCCGGAGCATGAACCCCGCCTGCCCCTCGGCCGCGGGACCCTCGGGTACCTGGCCCCTGACAGAGAAAGGAAAAAAAAGAAAGCGGGGCGCAGTTCTTTCCGCGCCTCCTCAGGGGGTCTCGGGCCGGTGGGGGGGGGGGCGCACGCTGCTCAGGGCCCGGCCCCCCGCGGCGTGGACCCCCGAGTACTTCCTCTCGTCACGGCCGGGCCGGGGGGGCTGTGGTGAACTTGGCCGCGCCGCGCCACCGCGCCGCCCCTCCCCGGCGGGGTTCGCTCGCTTCCCGGGACAGTGACTTGAGGGGCAGATGCCGGGAGCGCGCGCGGCGCAGGTCGCCGCGAGGGAAGGCGAGCCCTCCGCGGGTCGGGCCGGGTTGAAAATAGAAGTTGTGTTTGCGTCGTCCTTTTTCTTTTCTTTTCTTTTCTTTTCTTTTCTTTTCTTTTCTCCCCCCCCCCCCCTTTCTCTTTCCTTTCTCCCCTGCTCCCCCCGTCCAAGACAAGGTAGTTCGTTTGATTCGGAGCAGCAGAGTTCCTAGGGTGCCCCACTGTTGGGTCACCCAGGTTCAGGTTCGGACAGGAGGCAGTTGAGGGGCGGTTGCACTTCTTCGGGGATGGAGCCGTGTTGGAACACAGAGGCCTCGTAATTTGTTCCTCTGTTGACAGAAAACTCGCAGTGGAGGGGAAATGCAGCGGTGGCATGCAGGAGGGGTACTGTTTCCGTGCGTGTGTGAGAGAGAGAGTGAGAATGTGTGTGTGTGTGTGTGCGTGTGCGTGTGTGTGTGAGTGTGTGATCGCTGGTGGTGCTCAGGGCTTTCTCCTAGTCCTCTTGAGAGAGAGAGAGAGAGAGAGAGAGAGAGAGAGAGAGAGAGAGAGAGGTGTGTGTGTGTGTGTGTGTGTGTGTGTGTGTGTGTGTGTGATTGCTGGTAGTGCTTAGGGCTTTCTCCTCATGCTCTTTAGAGAGAGAGAGAGAGAGAGAGAGAGAGAGTGAGTGTGTGTGTGTGTGATCACTGGTAGTGTCAGGCCTTTCTCCTGGTCTTCTTGAGAGAGAGAGAGAGAGAGAGAGGAGAGAGTGTGTGTGAGTGATCGCTGATGGTGCTCACTTTCTCCTGACCCTCTTGAGAGAGAGGGAGAGCCAGAGAGTCTGTCATTGGTGGTGGTGCTCAGGGCTTTCTCCTGGTCCTCTTTAGAGAGAGAGTGAGAGTGTGAGTGTGTGATCACTGGTAGTGTCAGGGCTTTCTCCTGGTCTTCTTGAGAGGGAGAGAGAGAGAAAGAGAGTGAGAGTGAGAGAGGAGAGAGAGTGTGTGTGAGAGAGAGGAGAGAGAGAGTGTGTGAGTGATTTCTGATGGTGCTCAGGGCTTTCTCCTGATCCTCTTGAGAGAGCGAGAGCCAAAGAGTCTGTCATTGGTGGTGGTGCTCAGGGCTTTCTCCTGGTTCTTTGGTCAGGGATCACTCCTGGCTGGGTGCTGGGGAGCCATGTGTGAGTGAGGGAGGGAATTGAACCTGACTAGGCCATTTAGGGCTTTACTGTTAAATTCTTTCTGGTTACTAGAGGGGTCAGGAAAGGTCACTTTGAGAACATTATAAAGCCAGTATGTGAAGGAGATAAGGTGAGAGGCTTGGAGGCCTTTGAGAAGAGCATTTCTGCTCTATTTATGTTTGTGGGTCCATTGCTCCGGGCTTTCTCCTGTCTTGGCACTCAGGGTTCAACCTGGCTGACTCTACGGACCATTTGTAGTGCCTGGGATCAGCCCATGTAAAGCAAGTGCTATACCTTACTGTACTATCATTCTCATGGAGAAGAGTGTTTTTGGTAGATGGAGTTAAAATAAAGGCTCTAGGAAGGGAGCCCAGGCTGCAGCCCTGGATGGCAGGGGAGGGGACATGCTAGCAGGAAGTGTCTTACAGGCTGTACTAGGGACTTAGGACTCAGGAAGATATTAGGGTTTTGAGCAAAGCAATTATGTGATCCTATCAGTTTTGTTAAAAAATCTTTTAATATTTTGTAATTTAATAGATTATAATCTAGTATGTTGAATCCATCCGTCAGACCAGCAGTTTATTGTTGTTATTTTTTGTTTTTGAACTAAACTGGGCATGCTTAGCAGTTACTCCTGGCTCTGCATTCATTAATTACTCCTGGCTTAGCTTGGGGCACCATATGGGTTTGCCTGGGGATCGAATCTGGGCTGGCCATCTGCAGGGTAAGAGTCATACCTCCTGTACTATCACTCCAGACCCTATTATTATTTTTTCCTTGCCTTGCACTGTGCCAATATGATTCAATCCTAGGCACCCCATAGGGTTTCCCCCACCCCAGCGCCACGAGGAGTAATCCTTGAGCTCAGAGCCAGGAATAAGCTCTGAGCAGTACTGAGTGTAGCCCCAACACAACCCTTCCTTTCCCCCAATAAAAATAGCAGACTTCTGAAAAGTAAAGCAAACAAGTTACATACTTACCCAAGTAAACTACTTTTTTCCTAGTACATGTTTCTATCCTAGAATTGCAAATAACCTTTATTGTGAGTAGTCTCCACTTGTGCTTGATAATGGTTAAATGATTTTCAGTACCCAACATACAAAGTAATTTCTTAGAAGTTCTGGTAGAAGTGACTAGCACTCTTGAGAACATTGAGTTATATTTAAAACAAGGAACACTTGTATTGTTCTAGGTTGGGAATTGGCAATTTCACATGATTCAATCTCTTGTATTCACATGATTCAATCTCTTGTACTTTCGGTCTGTTTTCTAGTTGGAAAATACTTGATTTTTTTTTTAAATTTTTATTAGTGACAATCCAAAAGGTACAGTTGTAGACTTACAAATTTTTGTGCTTGGGTTTCAATTATACAATGATCAAATACCCATCCCTCCACCAGTGCCCATTTCCCAACACCACGGATCCCAGTATCCCTCCCACCCCCATCCCCCCCCCCATCCCACCCTGCCTCAGTGGCAGGGCATTCCCTTTTGTTCGCTCTTTCCTTTTGGGTGCTGTGGTTTGCAAAAGAGGCATTGAGTGGCAATCATGTTCGGTCTATAGTCTAGTTTCAGCATGCTTCTCCCATCCTGGGAGGATCCTCCCAATACCCTTTATTTGGTGCTCCCTTTATCTGAGCTGCCAGAAAATACTTGATTTTTATATAACTTTTAAGGGCCATTGAAGTGAGGTGTGTCCTGCTTTTAGGACTTAACCTTTAGTCCGTTTATCACTGAGTATATAATCAATTATTACTTTCAACTTCTTTTTTTTTTTTGCTTTTTGGGTCACACCCAGCAATGCACAGGGGTTACTCCTGGCTCAGCACTCAGGAGTTACTCCTGGTGGTGCTCAGGGGACCATATGGGATGCTGGGAATCGAACCCGGGTCAGCCGCATGCAAGGCAAATACCCTACCCGCTGTGCTATCTCTCCAGCCCCTACTCTCAAGTTCTTATATAGTTAATAATTCACTTGATTAAAATGTAAGTGGTTATCTATTTACATTGATGAGCAAAAATCCCGTAAGAGGGACCATGAAGTCTATATTTTGCGTGAACAAAAGAATTAATAAAAATTGAGCTGAATACCACACAGTATGTATTTTGTTTGTTTTGGGGTCACATCTGGTGGTGCACAGGGTCTGCACTCAGGGGTCGCTTCCTCCTGGTGAAACTCAGAGGACCATATGTGGTGTGGAAAGATTGAGCCCGAATTGTCTGCATGCAAGGCAAACATCCTATGTACACTGTATATACTATCTGTCCAGCCCCATATCACCCTACTTTTTTATGCACTAGGAAAAAAAATTTATTCAGTTGGAATATTCACTTTATTACATTGGCCTTGACCTATAGTATCATGTGTCTAAGACATGCCTGTATATCAGTTTTTCTCTTAAGGTTGGAAAGATAGTTCCTATTTGAAATAATTCCAGAACAGTTCTTTATAAATTTTATTATTTTTTCCCTTATAAATTTTAGAAAGTTTTTATCCATTATTTTTGTTTCTTTTAAGTCACATTGTTATTTCTTCTGGAGTGAATTTGTGACTTTTAAGAAATTAGCCCAGTGTTTCTAATGTCAAGTATATGTGATAAGAGTTTATGTAATTACTAATTTAATTTTTTTTTAATTTCTGATAATGGTAATTTGTTCCTTTTACCTTTTTCACTTGGACAGTCTGACTAAAAGCTTATCAGTTTGACTGCCACTTCAGAAAACCAGATTTTTATTTCAGTGACTTTTTTCTTACAACTTCATTGACTTCGACTTTTTGTCTATTTTTTAATGGCTTGCTTTGGTTTTTTTTTTTTCTCTTCTTTTTACTTGTTAGGTTGTTAACTTGAACTTTGCTGATATGAAAATGAAATGCTATGTATCTCCCTGAATGTGAGGAAATCCTCAAATTGCATGTACCCACAGACTTTAATAGTTTATTTATGTATTTATTTTATTTTATAAAGTCGGGCTGGAGCGATAGCACAGCGGTAAGGCGATTGCCTTGCGCACAGCCACCCACCTGAGCCGGATTCGATTCCTCCGCCCCTCTTGGAGAGTCCGGCAAGCTACCGAGAGTATCTCGCCAGCACGGCAAAGCCTGGCAAGCTCCCCGTGACATATTCAATATGCCAAACATAGTAACAACAAGTCTCACGATGGAGACATTACTGGGCCCACTCGAGCAAATCGATGATCAACAGAACAGTGACAGTGATATAAACCCCAACCCCTCCCCCAGAGCTGAACTGAAATAATATATTTTGTATTGTTTGTTATGAAAAGCCGCTGAAAATGCTCCAAAAAAATTTCCTTAGAGAAAAGAGTGTGAAGATTGTTGTATTTCACCCTGGGGCTATTAAGCCCTTCTATAACACTTAACGTGTT